TCTGCACACAGCACACATCGTGATGCATTGTTGCGCATTTCCCGCACGCCGCCGACCTCCGAGGTGATGTTCGGTCTCCTCGGGCTTCGCACGTGGCGTTTTCTTCATGAATAAATCATGAGTGTCCGAAATGCTAATGGCCGAAACGTTCGCCGGTGATATTTCTGCCGACCCCAAATGCACCGACATCGTCGAAAATATGCTCGGTATTCGAAGGGACAACGACGGCCGCACCTGCGATATCGCACACGAAACAGATTCGAGAGAATCCTCTAATTTCTTCGAATTTAGAGATTCGTAGTATGAAAAAAAAAATCGAATTTAAAACACAACAGTCTCATTTTATCCGAAAATTTAGACCGAATATTCCATGTGATATTTAACTCGCTTCTGCAATTTCTCGTTGCAAATTGAATTGACACGCTGTTTACAGTTAAATATAACACGAAAGCATTTTATTTCAGCAACGTGATTAATTAATTGGGATAAAAGTGTGTGTCTTTCTCTTTCTGTCTATATTTTTACTTCTTTGCTCAGCTGAAGTCATTATAATATGTTACATTCATGAAAATTGTTCGGGGCGGCATAAAGGGTGTCTGACGATCTTATCACCGGAGAACTCGGTAATTCCGATCGGCGGCACGAACGATCTTGTCACGAGAACTTGGTAGTTTCGCCGGCGCACTTCACCCGGCGCGTCATAGAGATGTTGACTGATAAGGCATAAAATAGGTCGAACGTGGATGAGAACTACGGAACAATGGAAGGCTAATGATGAGAGTGTACCGTCTTGTCTATTTCGGTCGTACGCGCCGAAGTCGATAAGATGATGACGAAAGGGAACCGTCGGACGAGCATATTGTTCGCTACCTGTCAACGTCTCGCTGTTAAATTAACGCTTTGTGCGCTCGGGAAGTTGAGAGGTTTCGCGGATGCGAGTCGTAGAAAATTCCAAAGACGCACAAAGTATCGCTGCAATTCTCTTTTATTAACAATAATCCTTAGAGACGCTAAATCGGTACCTCATTGCGATATTTTATAAGATATGACTTTAACGTGTCGATGACTAAGATCTTTGATAAGTTAATTGAATTACTTGCAGAGATAGAC